CGCTGACCGCTCCGAGAGAGGATCTTGCCATATGGGCAGCGGGGACAATTAAAAGAGTGACGATTGTTGTGCGTGGGAGTCGTGACCGTTGCGAGCGGGACCATGTCTCTCTAATTGCTGGTTAAATGGCAGGCTCGCGAATGTGCGGGCTGCTTTGTCAGGATTCGAACTCTGAAAGGAGCTCGGCATTGCGTTGCGAGTCGACGCCGTTCCGTCAGCGATTGAGGGACAAAGAGATTCGCGAGGACCCAAAGCCTCGAGAGAGAGAGAGAGAGAGAGAGAGAGAGAGAGAGAGAGCAAGAGGATACGCGTGTCGCGTTTCAACCACGCTGAAATCATTATCATTATTATTATTATTATTGACGAAATACTTTTCATGTCCCTCGTCCTCGCGGCAGTTATGACCAAGGTGACAGGAAAAGCCCGCGCCCGCGCCGCGCTTTTAGATCGAGTCGAATGAGGTATCCGGTAATAAAGCAATAGCCGTTGAGCGACCGCGGCGATGAAACGCGCGAATTATCGTCCGCGCGATCACCCCCCCCCCTTCGGCCCCCGGCGCACGCAGTGGGGCCAGATATTTTTTGGTTGAAAATTCTCTAGAGACCTGAATTTCCAACCGATCATCGATGACACCAATGGATGAGGTTGATCCTGAATATATTCTAAAGAGATCTGTCTAGCCGAAATTTTGAAAAAAATTATCGGTTCGGAGTTCGTGGGTTTAGCGTTTGTCTTAAAAGTTTCGAGGCTCGAACTTAACGCTTCATAGCTGAATATTCAACGTCGAGTATTATTAGGTTCTCGAGCTATGGCTAGATTGGGTTCTTGGACTGTTCGGGGCTCTTCATATATACGGCTTCATGCATCCACGTGCTAAAAAGTTGTCGGATTGATAGATTCCTAGGTTGATGAGCTTAAGACTCCAGAAATCCCTCGGTTTTCTGCTTAACGGGTCTATATTTCACGCTTTTGTATTTTGGGCATGTGAGTTTTAGGTTAATGGGTTTCTGCTTCAAGATCGAACAAAGGGGTCTCTGTTGATTGGTTTCATAGTTTCAATCCGCTGAATACGCTATTAGATGGAAATAAGTGTCGAATAGTGAGTATCTCGCAAGTTTCTCGCGTTTGACGATAATTTTCCCTCCTTTGGGGCTAGTAATTTGAGAAAAGAATTTTCCTTTTTATTTTGGCAAGACGGATCTCTTCGGAATTCATTCAGGATCAACCTCATCCATTGGTGTCATCGATGATCGGTTGGAAATTCAGGTTTCAATGGCTGCGTTCAGCAGAACAAAATGATCAGTGAGCGCTTAGTGATTATTGTCTGTGACTGGAGCATTCTTTTAGATTCTTCATAGACCCAGAAGTATTTGCCAATCAGGAGCGAGAATCACTAAGCGCTCACTGATCATTTTGTTCTTCTGAACGCAGCCTATGTCCCAGAATGTTCAACCAAAGAATGTCATCTGGCCCCACTGTGCGCCGCGCCGCGCCGCGCCGCGCCGTCTCCTCTTCAGCCACCGGCCGACAGGCCCGAAGCGCGAGAACTAGCCGCGGAAGAAGTCGAATATCGCGTGAAGATAGGTCGCTTCTCTATATTGATCGCGGCGCAGCGTGAATCATGCATATTTGCACTCGTGTTGTACTCGCGTGCGCGTAATAATATTCCGTGGTTGGCATATTCATATACGCCGCGTATATTGTCAGCCTGGACACGCATCGAACCGCGCCGCGCCATTGTGACGACTGGCGCCCGTGTGACAATGAGCCGGCCAAGAGGGAGAGAGAGAGAGAGAGAGAGAGAGAGAGGGAGATGGGGGAAGAGGAGAAAGAGAGAAAGAGCGCAAGAGAGAAAGAAACGAACGACGACGCTCCTCGTGAACACAGGTGCGCCCGGCGTCCCGGCGCTCAGGAGCGCCTTCCGTCCACCCTTGTCGCGCTCGCTTTCGCTCCCCCCTCTCGCGCCCTCGCTCTCCGACGAAGCGAGAGACTATCGCGCCGGAGAAGTCGCGCCGCGGAGTCTCGGAGCGCGCTGCGTTTCCCGATGATTACGATAATTGTCGCCGTGAGAGAAAGCAGAAGACTCCGGAGAGAGGGTGACGAGGAGGGGGAGCGCGAGGGAGCGGGAACGGGCGCCTTGTTTTGTTATCGCAAATCGAATTTGCCGGCGTGAATCGCGAGATAAATTTTCGGATCCTCGCGTGTGTGTGTGTGTGAGGATCGACTCGTGGGACTCGAGGGAGTTTAGATTTAGTAATTTATTAATTTAGTGAATTAGTTTAGAATATTAGCAACTGCGGGTATTCTAAAGAATAGCGCGTAAATGGAACGTATGATGCGCGCGACCCAAAGTGGAATGCATCTGGCGGTCGCAAGATAGAGGAGAGGCCCAGCCGCGAAAAGAATTCTCTCTCCCGAGAGCGACGCGATCGATATCGCGTGCGCTGCACGGACAGCCCGAGCTGTCGCGCGGAGGAATTGATAAATTAGCTACTTAGCGGTTTAACGGTTGGACGACGGTGATTTGTCAGCGTGGGGAATTACCGCTAGCGACGGAATGAGAGCCTATCTCAGCTGGTGTTGGATCCTGAGTGTCCACAGGAGTCTCGATACGCGCCGACTTTGAAAATGTTCTCAGTGAAACTGAATTTCTGCCGCTCGTCCGGGGCCCCAGAAAACTTGTTTTCTTGGAGGGAGGGGGAGGAGAGGAGGAAACATTCCCGCGGAAGATTTTTATCGAGCTTCTCTCCTGTCTTGTTTCCACTTTACCGTTCTCTTCTCATGCCCGCACACAGGCAAAAGCATGCTGCACGCGAGTAATTCTCCCGCATCTGGATAGTCTCTCACTATAGATACGGATATAGTGTGGATCTTTTCTCTACGTGGAATTTAATCTAAATTAGGTATCACACAGACGGAGAACGTTATCGACGAAGATAGCTGCGCGTGCGATTGCACTCGCGAAGAGACGATCGAGCGCGCACATATAGAAGTGTAAGAAGTCTCGAGGCAGACAGGGGGACGACGCTCGGCTAAATCGCTCGATCTGTTTGTTCCAACAGTGTAAGCAGTGCGGCAAAGCATTCAAACGGTCGAGCACGCTCAGCACTCACCTCCTGATCCACTCCGACACGAGGCCTTACCCCTGTCAATATTGCGGCAAGAGGTTTCACCAGAAGTCGGACATGAAGAAGCACACCTACATCCACACCGGTGAGTGTCCTCGACGACGACGACGATCGAAAAATGAGAGCTCGTTTCAAGAGCGCTCCGCCCGAGATCGATTCGCGGGATTAACACGGCGCGCGTTTATTCCGCCAGACCTCCTGGCGAATCTTCGACAACTCGACCGCGCGCGCGCGCGCGCGATGACGCGCTCGACGGTACCTTCGAGCGAGCAACTCTCGCTCGGTCAAGTGCGCGAAATGTGCAATTGTGCAGGTATACTTTGACGAGTAGTTTCCTCCACACGACCACGTTTCCTTCGCGACCTAAATACTTAATACAAAGTCTCGGGGGAGTGCACCTCGCTTTGTGATCCGTTCTTTGTCAAGAGCCTCCCCCTCCCTCTCCCTCTCTCTCTCTGTCTTTAACGCGCTAACCGGACCGCAGGAGCGACCGGTGGACGACCACATGACAAAGTTTCGGCGTATGCGAGTGTTGCGTGAGCATCGATAATTGCATTCGTCGGTAACAAGCCCCTACTTTATATATCGAATTTTTACGCTACGGCTATACTCATGTACGCTCAACTTCGTTCAACGCGTCCTCGGAATTACAGCTTGTCGCGTGTTCTCCCTTAAACTTCTTCTTTCTCCGCGGTCTTTGACCAAATGTTGCTGCTGCATACCGCCGATCGATAACTACAATTGCTCGTAACGAGCTTCTGCCCTCGGCGTCTACGTCGAAATGGAAGACGCGGAGAGCGGACAGCTGGAAATAATCTCTCTCGATCGCGGACCGGCCTGATATATCTTTCGGCCGCTGAAACTCGCGATAAATCCCCATCCCCCCGCCCCCCCCCCACGCAATGCCCCCACGCGATGCCTCCGTCGTCAGAATATATATATATATATACCAACTTTTCAACGGGGTATCTCAATCGGAAGAGAAGAAGAACGAAGGAGAGAGAATTATCCCGAAGTTATTCCGCCGATTAATTCCGATCATTCGCGTTATCATATAATCGCAGCCGCGGGACACCCTGAATTCGCGCACGCCTCTTTCGTCCCGCGCTTTCTCGTTATTATTCTTTTATTCTTCGTCACGCATCCCGAGCGGATGGGACAGAAAGGACGGCCGACTCCTCGGCAGGGGGAGGGGGGTGTCCGAATTATTTATGAACGACTGCCTTGTTGCCACTGTGGCAAGCCACTCGGTAAATTATTCAGGCCATTGTTGTCCTGTGATCGGCGAAATGTCCCAAGACAAGTCGTGCGCCGCGCCGCGCCGCGTCGCGTAGAACGAAGGCGAGAAAGACTTATTCCCTATAGCTTCCGAGAATTCACCGGCAAGATTCACTTAAAACGCGAACCTTGGTGAACTACACGCCCGCTATAGATCCGCTCGCCGCGTCGAGAGCAAGACGTCAACGACCTGAGGGGTGAAGCGAAGGCTTTTCAATTTTTTCCATTGCAACTTGCAACCCCGACGAGGCGCCCGCGCCGAGTCTGCAAATTTCGCCGCGAGATGCGTCGATCGTCTCAACGTGTGCCGTATGCGAACATCGTCGATGAAAAGAAATATCTCGCGAACACGCGGATGGAGCGTCCGCGAGCTAAATATCGGCCGCGTGAAAATTGCAACTTTTTGCCCTCTCGTGTCTCGGGGGCGTCGTTGATACGTCGTTCGGCTTCATTAAGGGTAATAAGCCGTCGCGCGACGCTCTGGAGTGCGCTCGAAAAAAAGTTGCACTCGCCTGATGCGCGTTATCGCGCAAATGAGATTGCGCGGTAATGTGCGTTTTATTCAACCCGGCGCCGCGAAAAACGACGGGAACGGACGCTCGCGGCGCGCGCGCGCGTGTGACCGTGCCTTTATACCGACACGCGCATTTAAACATAACCTGTCCGTGGTGCATCTTCAATGTGGGCTGTCTCCACGAATGTCACACCCACGTCAACCCGCGCGACTGACCCTTTTCGCATATGAAAGAATCACGCAGGGGGCATGTACGCGACACAGCAGGTCGATATCGCGCGAGGAAATGGGAAAGGAGGATCGCGCTCGTCGCGAGCCCTAAAGGTCGTAAAGGTGCGTATACATTGAGCGAACGAATCCGAGCGATCCGAGCGAACCGTGCACTCGGTAAATGTGTACTGTGGTGTAGGTGGTATTCACTGAGCGAGCGAATCACAGATAGCGCAATGATATCCTCCCAAGGAAATCCCAAGGACATCCAGAGCGGATCCATCGCGGATATCCTGTATCTCTATCTCAGTTTTATCCCGAGATATACTTTCCTGAGTCCTGAGGAAGAGGAAATGATAGTTAAATATTAGCTTTGAGACATCCAGAGCAGATCCTGTCGGCGATCCTCCTGAGGACTTGCACGGGATATGTCAGGCATCTGAAGAACAAAGTAAAACAGTGTATTGAATTTGCTAATTCCGAATTATGACTTTTTTATTTGAAGGTGATCAGGTGTAAGGAAAAAGAAGCACTTGACTCGACTTTAAGTCGGAATTGGCAAATTGAATACATTAATGAATCAATTTCATTTTCAGAAATAAAAGAAAAGGATTGCGCCGCCTGGGTTTCTATGCTATTTGAGACTAGCGGATTTATGAGAAATTTATATTTTATTATACAGCACTCAACATTCTGAGATTACCTCTAATGTTGCACTATAATTAATAGAGTCTCAAATATACGTATGTACGTAAAACTGTCATTTAAAATATTTACCACGGCACAACTAAATCCCCCAGAATTATTTTGAATACATCTAGGATATTCTGGGATACTTTCAGGACATTTTCATATCCTAAAAATATCCCAGGACATTCCAAGAATATTCAGGATCATCCTGAGGACGTCTTGAGGCCGTCTGGGATATGTCAATCGGATGTAAAACTCACTAAACGCTCAATGAACGCTCATACTACTGGATGTATCCAATATTATTCTGTCGAATTCACCGTTCGCTATTCGTCGTTTGCTCGCCGCTTAGTGTATACGCACCTTAACGCTGGCATCGTGGCTTCGAGCCAGCTGACTTCGAAGCTCGGACGAGCTTCCGCAACGAAACAATTGGCACATCCTCGAACAACGCTCGTTGACGTCGTCCTGGCAACGTTTCTGCTTTTGCTTCGCAAGGTGTCGTGCCTTTCGCACGAGATTAAGATTTTCTACGGCGGGCTTGTGTCGCTGACACGAGTGTGTTGATGTGACTTTGTTCAACGCTTAATCGACTTGGCCGTGGTTTAATTCGCGATGCACGCGACAAATGCACCGCGGCGAGGTGATTCGCGAAACGTTCCGATGACGGGGAAATGCGCGTCAGAAGGTTCCGCCCGGAACGTTGGATAACGGCGACAATCCCTTTCGCAACGTAAGCCGGAAAAAGGTGGATTGGCATGCAATCAGATTAGTCCGGATTTCATTCATTCGACGCTCGCACGCCGCGGCGGGGCCAAACGAACACGCACATCGCCCGCAATAAATATATCGGCAGATCATCAGGCGCTGTTTCGTATGGAAATCGCGTGTCTCGTCACGCACACGCGAGAGCGGTTATTCTTCTTCCTTTCGCCGTACGAAGCCGCCCGAGGTGGAAATTTGCTCGCCGTATACCGATAGAGTAAAATTCGCCGGCGGCCGTCGCGAGATCACCGTTGGGAAGCTTCGCTTTTCTTCTCTTCCGAGTGGCTTCTATCGCCAGCCTCGAGAGATTACGAACCTGCCACTTGTCGGCTGTCAATAACGACACGCGTCGCAATTAGGGATGCGCGATATTTACCGGTTAATCGATTCGTCCAATATCTTTTGTCCAAAAATCGACAATTAACTGCCGATATTTTTGAGGTCTGATACACCGATATTCGATTTCTTTTGTGAATATCGCGAGAGTCTGCTGCGCCATCTGCAGCTTGAAATTTGAAACAAATATAATTAAATTTCAAATTTCTGTTCGTAACGTTCCGATATTATCGATGACTGTTTAAAATATTAACATATTTAGGCTAATATTATATCGTACGATAAGCTTATGTCAGGCACGTTGATTGCTTGGCGGATAGAGTATTTCTAGAATTGCTCCGGACATCCTGTAAATTCTGTATTCGACAACTAATCGACGTGTACCTAACAAGTTTGTTATACGGCGCAATTAATAGGTCTGTTCTTTTCCTTTATTCTATTTTTTCGTATCGATGATCTTGAATTGGTCGTTTAATAATTCTGTTATTTAATTTCTTCTTGTTCTAAATTGATTCTTTAACCGAACGTGGTATGTTAAGCCAGCTATGAATTTTATCATTATATGATTTGCTCCATGGACATGGAGCTTAATTACATAATCTTTTCTAAATGCCGTCAGAAACAATCAACTTTTATATCTGCAGGAGTCGTCGAACGTTGAACATCGATTTGCAAACGGCAACTTCAAATCAGTTCAAATCAGTTCAAATTACCCGAAGAAATATAGCAGAAGAATTAAAGAATACGCAAGAAATAAATAAATAAATAAATAAAAGAAAAAAATTTTTGAAACATTTAAAACTGTTTTGCAATTAATAAAATAATTTTATAATATCCAAAGTTGATCTATTCCCAAATATTATTTTATGAAATTATGAAAATAATAAAATTGTAAATATTAAAGAAAATAAAAAAGAAAAGGCGTTTAGTTTTAAAATATTAAGAAATAACAATTAAAAATTAAATCCGACATATCGATTCTACGATTTCTTTCTTTTCGCAATAATTGGATATTCGATATTGATTTTTTCCATCTTTATCGATTCTTTCGATATCGATTTTTTCATCAATATCGCGCATCCCTAGTCGCGATGAAACTGCGACTCGAGTCGGGGGATTCGAGAACGGGCGAACGAGAAGCAGCGGAGCGAACGCGAAGGGGAAGTCTCGATTTATACGCGCGATCGGGCGACTCGCGAACGCGTCGGCTCTCCGTCGCTGCACAAACGCGACGCGAGATCGCCGAGTGACACCGAGCCGGTTTGACGAATCACTCCCGCGACTCGTTGCGG